CATATATATTAAGAAAAATGTTTATAGAAGGTGTCAATCTTATACTATAGAAGTAAGGCGCACTTCAAAAATCCACGAAAAAAAGTTGTTCCAATATCAAAAAACCCTTCAATTAATCATCTCAACATCAAGATGTATGGATATAGAAAGAGGATTTCAATACCTAAAAATAGTGTATCTTGCGGCACATTATCTAGACTATCAATTTTCAGAATTTTTAAGGGTTTATAGAGCTACTTGATCAACATAATTTTTGGAGCTTTAAATTTCATAATTAGGGGTGTAATTAGATTTTTAGCCCTACATCTTTTAGTACAATTTAGAGGTGCGCCTTACTTTGATTGTTTAAGGTTGACACCTTATCCAAACCACACCCACATGTGTGTATAATTAATCTTCACAAGATCACTCTCCATATGTGTGCGTGTGAAAAGATCATGTAAGACCACAGGCCTATACTATAGTATAAGCCTGTTGGAGTCAATAGAGTTCGTTGGACACCAATTCTGCATACATGCTCATCTCATCCTAGATATCTGAATAAATATATTTGCACAAATAAAGTGGTAAGTGTTCAACTATCATGTTTCTCTTCCTGGCAGAGATCACTAGCTGTTTCACTGCAAATGAAGAAATATATAGAGGCTCAAATAAAGTGCTATATAAGGACCCTAAAAAAAAGAGTCCACACTTCCAGATGGTAAGCCAACTGAAGTTCATAACTCAAGAACAGACCTGGCACTGTCATTTGGAAGTTATAAGCTGCATATTAAAAAACATAAAATGTCAAATAGTTAAGACAATATTTTAAAGAGCCATCTAAGGCATAATTGTCAGCTAATATCCAAATACCAACAGCCAAAGCAAAGCCACAAGAGAATTTGTGAAACAAATGACAAAAAAATTTCTGAAAGCAGGCATCAAAATTATAATCATTTGTCCCAATAGAAAAAGAGAAGTACAGGCAGCAAGCGTTAAAAAATATTCACAAGTCACATTCTAGACCCACATTTCACTGTCAATATCAGACAAGCAGCAGCCAAGTGCACCGGAACGACCACATTTATGGTTGAAGGTTGTTGCAAGGGAGGAAATTGATCCAAGAGAATATTGAATACAATGGAATAGACAAAAGAGATCATCGATAGACCAATAAAGCGGTTGGCAATAAAAGTGGGGTATCAAATAAAACAAGGAAAAACAAAAAAATACCTCTCCTGCAAATTGATCAGCCCAGGAATTTATATTATTATTATGCTGCTGATCAAACTCCTCAACCCAGCCACTTGATTGAGATGGCACAGCAGGCTTGACTTGATTGTTGTCAACAATAAGCTCCCCACGACTCATCTTTGATACAAACTGAAGAAACTTTGAGTTCTGCAAAGCATATTCGCATATTAGATGTATAAGAAAAAAAAAAAATCAAAATTATAAACAAGCAACAACAGTTCATTAGCACATTATGCACAATGTGAAGTATGGAATGGGTAAATGTTTTTCTCATTCGAACTTTCCCATAGACAAACTTTTCAATCAACTGTATAAATTAATTTCTCAATCCATTTTTCCTATATGTTAATCACAAAAAACATTTGAACAATTTATTCTCACCAATGTTCGAAAATTCACCCGCCTAGCCACCTAGGTGTAAAAATTCCAAATAACGCCTAGGCACTAGTTAGGCGGGACTATTAGGTGTACTGCATCTAGGCGCCACTTCGTGATAGTTTGTCAAATGGCAGAAAAAACCTTTGGCGAAGGTCAAAATTTATCATTTCCCCCCCCGAAATAGGAGGAAAACGGTTTTGGGGTCAACACCATACCTTTTTAGAAAGAGAAAAACTCCCCCAAAAACCTTTCTTTTGTGATTTATCAAAAAATCGATGAATTTTTTATTTTTTCGATTTCTTCCCAAAACAAAAGCAATATTCGTGAGTGTTTTTTAAGTTTCTAGTAGTCGAGACCCAATAGATAAGGCTTGCACCGACATCAATTTGATTTTGATATTTTAAAAATATTATCATATTTGAATAAGAGTTTTGATTTGATTTTGCTATAATTTATTATGTTATATTTGTTTTTTCTTTTACTTTTTTTTTTTTCTTTTACGATGTATTCACATGTTTGTAGTTGAAAGATTGATTTTTTTTTTTTTGTGATTTAATGAATTTTTTCTCATTTGGACGATGAAATTGGGCTTTTGAAAATAGCCATAAACTTAGGATAAAATTGATATTTTATAAATATTTGATATCCAAAACCAAATCTTATGGATATTAATTAATAAACAATAATTATAATATAACTTTCATCTCAATTAACAGTCCACCGTTCCTTATTCCTGGGTGCTCACCTAGGCGGGTGGCCAGCCCCCCAAAACACCTAGGCAGGCACGCCTGTCTTTTTGAACATTGATTCTCACTAGCCGACCCCAAATAATTGGATAAGGCTTGGATGATGATGATGATTCTCCCTAGATTCTTTTCATCAGTTTGATGGCGGATATCATAACCCTAGACTACAAATTTATAATATTTTTCTACAAGAAAAAGAATGAATGATGAAGATCATGTGTTCATTCATTAAAAATTCCAAAGAGGTTATGCTAAAAATTTCCAAATGAACCATCTTAGAGTAATACTCCAGTCCAAGAAAACTATGCAAAACTACTAGCCAATCCGGCTTCCTTTCATACAAATGTGTCATGTTCCAACACCGGAAGCCAAACTCTATAGGCATGTAGCTGCTCCAAGAATGATGAACTAGGTAAGCACCAAACAATACCCCTAGAAACGATAAGGAAATAGATAGATGCCCATCAAAGAGGTTGTTAACACCTGGCTTCAATGTGGGATCTATCGCAACCTGATCCAGGGAAAATTAGAGAACAACTTAGGTAGGTTTTGTTCCACGAATGGATCCACCTAGTGGGATCATGATTTCTCCGAAATTGTTCTCACCCCTGGATTACTGAAGGGGAACCTCTCAACATGATTTGGTGGTGTTAGCAGGTCTTTCTCAAGATTGAGGGACTGCAAACATTCTAAAGGGAACTCTGAATTTGCAGGTTCATTGAAGATTTCATTTGTTGACATGCAGCCATGCACACAGTAGGCATTGAAATGGCTCCATTCTCAACCCAAAGTTGGTTTGGGTTGAGAATGAGAGTTATTTCCACAAAGTGTTCAACATAAGACATACTGTGAATAAAGATTAGTTTAATATTTTCAGAAAACTACTCACTATTGCTACAGGAACACTTATTGTAGGAGGGGGTTGCTTTCTGGGTTGGAATAGCTATTGATGAGATGTTAGCTCACCATCGCATAGGTAAGTTCATACAACTTAGGAATTAAATCTAACAAACTACCCATTTCCACAGGTTAGTGTTTAAACATAGCTTGCTTTCGATGAAGACCAAAAAAAAAAGCTACCAATCAGGAGAAACTGCATTTTTCCACAATATCCTATTTTTCAACTTCTTGAGAAGCATAGACTGGTGATGCCATTCAACTTCTATAGCAGTTTAGAAAACTTTTGTAGCAATTGAAAACCCAAAAAGCAAATTCTTAATAAATCCATAACTCCAATTGTTACCCCATTTTCTCAACCCTTAGTATACTAGATGGTAAAATTTTACGTTGGCTGCTCTCGGGCATTCCTATAAGCCCCAACATTTTGTATAGGGTCTTTTGACCTATTTTTTGACCGAGAGACCCGACTTATGGGTACTCTCGAATCCCCCTTATGTTTCATGTTACTTTCACGGCAATACAAAAGTTAACTTTATCACAAAAAAAAAAATTCACATTGGCTGCTACCTAACACAACCATGCCCTTTTACCCAGGTATGGGATGGATTAAGGGAAAGTTTAAGGTCATCACCCTTCTTAGACCATGAAGTACAAAAAGACCGCACTTTCGATATCTTGGATCGATAATCCATGAAAATGGAGAGATTGAGGAAGATATCACACACAGAATTAGAGCTGGGTGAGCGAAGTGGAGATGTGCAACTGGAATTTTATGTGATCGCCACATACCAATGAGGCTAAAGAGAAAATTCTATAGGATAGCAGGGAGATCAACTTTGTTCTATCGGGAAAAATTTTGGGCGAACAAAAAACAATATACCTTAGCCCTTTACCATTTTCTTCCATAAAAGGTAGCCTGCCACGCTCCTCTCCATCCCTTAATTTCTTCTACCCACCCTTTATCTTTGAGCACACCCTCTCCTCCAACCTTTACACCTTCGAATCCACTAGCGCCCTCTGCTGAGGGCAGAAGGTCCCTTCACACGTGTCATGCTTCATGACGGAAAGCTCCCCCTTAGAAAGGTGAACACATTACTCTCACTCTGTATATCAGGAGCCCCCGTCCTCTTCTTCTAAGGAGCACATCATGGACCTTTTGCCAGGGATTGACTCCAACAGCCCTATTAAAGTATGCTACAAGCCCAAGAAAATTTATGAAAACACAACTGCTGCTTAGGCGTTGTTTGCCATCCATTGGGATTCTGTTGTACACCGTTTGGTGTTCTTCTTTTGAGTTTTCAGTTTAATTTTGTTGTTCTTCCCTCCTAAGTATTACTTTTCTATCTCCCTCTTCTACTATCTGCTATACAGTTGTAGTCTGAGCACCGAACTTGTAGGTTGCCGTCTCTAGTTTTAGTCAAATGTAAATCCTTTCTTTCTATCTATACAAAACTTACCCTTATTCAAAAAAATAATACATGGATAATAACTGGATTTTGTTGGGTATAGATATTTGTAGTATGCAACATAGTATTCCCAATCATAAGAGTTTAAGGCAAGATGCCCATACAAATGTCATCATAAAGGAAACTATAGGTTAACAAACTTTTGAATGCATCATATGAAAAGAATAATCTTCACAATGAAACCTGAAACTTTGGATCTTCATTTTGAGCTAATGTCTCAGCAAGCATGCGAGTCTGCTCCATAGCTGCTATATTTGATATGTTCCTGCCTGTCATTCGACCAAGCGATGACACTTGTGACTGTTCCTGAAGATGATAAACCAAAAGTTAAGATGGCATTCCACTTAAGCCAATAAAAAGGGTCATGTGAATGATAGCAATGAAATACTGTATCCATTTTGAGAAATTGGTAAGAAATGTAATGATGATTAAGCAGAAGATATGTGCAAGAAAACAGATAAGTTACCCCAGACAGTCAAAAGCTCAGACATGGCATCAGTAGACCAAGTATGAAATACATACTGTTTCTACCCTAGTATAAAGACTAACAAGGAGGCCATACTTCCATACAAGAGACCAATGTACTGACTGCAAAATTCAGAATGTGATACCACAGATTTTCAGCAATAACCAGGGACTAGAAAGACTCAACTGTAACACAAGCAGAAGAAGTTCAACTCCCAGCAAATATCTGGCATTCACTACAAGGAGATATATAGGATAGACTGACCTGCTCAAATTGGGAAGCCCATGAATCAACACCATATTGTTGCTCAAAGGAATTTGCCCATGACTCTGGGCCTTCCGCTGGCCTAAACTGGTCGTACTCAGCAACCCATCTGTCCTCAGCATGAGGCGCCTCAAATTTTGCTGCACCTTGCGATTCATTCCAATATTGCTTTAACTCCGGGAATCTTCTATGTGGAGGCCCCCTCGCTTGAAGATCATTATCAATCTCTAAAGAATGTAGGAGTGCATTTACCTGGAAGACATATCAATCAGGATTCAGGAGTGAACAAAAAACGAAAGCTACAAAAGAAACTTGATATGTATTATAAAAAATGAATACAAAAGGATTTCATAAAGACCTCATGATATGAATAGCTTAGGAATGACTAAATCTGATTCTTAGTGCACATAATACATCAATGCGTTCCTTATAACACTATTCAGCACATGCTTCTCATGTAGATCTAGTCATTTGCGACAGAATTTCATTCCAGCATAGAAGAAATATACCTTACCTGTGCATTAATATAATCATCACTCTTATCAGCAAAAAAGTGGCGTGCCATTATGCTACTGCGGTCACGTATGCAATGCTTGTCTCTTTGAGACAAACCCATAACTGGCAGTGTTGCCGGACAAAATGGAATGCCGGCCTGGTTACTGTGTACAAATTGATGAAGAAATCCAGACAAAATGTTTTGAGGTGGACCTGCACAAGGAAAATGAAATAATACGAATTGGTTGAATCGTCCATCTAGCAAGAAACATAGAACACAAGATGAAACAGCTTAGGGCCTAAAATAGGAGAAGGATATTTTTGGAGATTTCTCACAGGACAGCAACGAAGAACAAATAGAGGACTACTTTTAAAAAAACACAGAGTGAAATACTCATCTACTAACCAAGCCTACCTTCCCATCTGGAGACAGGAGCATTAACACCATCATAAATTTGATCAAAAGTAGAAAAAAGGGAAGGATTATCTCTTTGCTGAAAATTGGGAGGCATATGAGGTTGTTGAGCCTCATTCCATGCCACTTCGAAGCCTTCATGCCCACCAGAATGGAATTTGCGGAGGAATTCCGAGCCCTTTGACCATTATCATAATAAAATAAAAGAAGAAAAACAATAAGTCCCATTACAAAAATAAAACAGTTACCCTCTTACATAAGGCTGCACCTCTTATACAAAATCAGGAAACAAGGTCAAACCTGGTTATCTGGATACTGAATTTGTTCATGGTCATACTCGCCCGGAAGAGAAGACAAGGGGTCATGACCCCTAATATCAGGAGCATGAGGACCAACGACTGCGACGTCTGGAAGCTCGTTCAATCTATCCTGTATGAGAAAATTTGACAGATTGGATAAAGAACTAATAGGAGATCATATGAAAGAAAAAGCTGTTTTTAATATAAGACAAACCCAATAATGGCTAAATTAAAAGAAACGAATGATCATAATGAATCATATATGAGGAGCTCTTACAAAAATGTCTCACAGATAAAGATGTGGAAAGATCGTGCAGTGGATGTGCATAAACTCTATACATGGTTTGCATATGACCAATTTGACCATAACATTTTAATAAGTGATGATACCATAAGATCAAAACAATGGGGGGCCGCTGAACCTCAGCTTACACTTCAGGAACTTACTCAACAAAGTTTAAACACCTGAAAACACTTCCTTTGCAGTACATAAAGATGGTCCGTTAGATTATAGGAATATGGTGGAGTAACTCACCTTCAATTTCTGCTGTAAATGCCCTTATATTGCAATTTAAAAAAAAATTAAAATATTTGTCTTTTGATTACAAAGACTCATATTTGCATAAGGGATTGTGATAGGGCTGAGAATTTTACCCAGTTTGGATCCGAAACACGAATTTCTGACGCTATCCAGATCCCAGATGTGGATCCGACGGGTTGGATCAAAAAATTGGATCCAAATCATAATTCAAACCGGATCCGGGTACAAGTGGTTCCGATCCGGATCCAACATAGTAATTAAAATATTATATAATATTTTGTATGTATACACATATGTTATATAGTATTTTTTGTTGTACATGATTTTATAGATATAAAAATAACAAGGTTTAAAAAACGGATCGGCAACCCGGATCAGCAACCCCAAACATCATGTCGGATCGGTAGATCGACAATACAGATCATAGAATTGGGCAAATCGGCAGGTTTCAACATTAAAAAAATGAAAAAAATTACTAGAATTTCTTAAAAAATCTGCTTTTTTAGGTTTTCAAAAAATAGTGGTATTGCATTATAGTTTCTTATTATTTTGTTGAAAATACATAAGTATTGAGAACTTGTCTCATATCTGAGTGTTTTTATCCATTATATTCATTTTGTAGTCAAATGCAACTCATTACAATAAGGATCGCTCTGACTCTAAATTTATAGTGAACAAAAAAGGAAGTGTACATTGTTTTGGACCTTTTGGTTTAATAGAGAAAAGACCAGGGTATTACCCTCACAAATAAATAAATCTAATGTGTAATAATTAGTGTGGTGCCACACTAATCTGCAGCGAGGTGCCACACTAATCTGCAGCGAGGTGCCGCAAGTGACTTTTAACCACATTCTTCAAGGGGGCCAATGAAGTACCCGATCGCCTAGCCAAGGATGAAGCTCGCAGCACCTTTCCATCCCTTGTTTTCTCCTCCTAGCAACCTTAGAGCTCGCTTGGTTCTACTTTCAGGTACGCCAGAAATTATTAATCCCCTTCCCCTCTCTCATCTTTTCTCTCTCTATCTTTCTCCTCTCTCCCCCCTCATCTCTCCATTTCTACCTTTTCTCCCTCCCTCTCTCGCATAATTCTACTATTCAACCCTTCCTTCACCCCACCTCCTTCTCAACCCTCTGTATCCAGCAAATGTAGCATCTCGTCAATTTAGGGGCAGAGAAGAGAATAGAACAAGCGAGGAAAAAAAAGCGAAAAAAGGATAAAAGAAGAACAAAAAAAAGAAGGGGAAAAGAAAAAAAACAGAAAGAAAGAAAGAAGAAAAAGAGAAATGAAAGAAATTTCGAGGTACAGCAAGAAAAACAAAAATTAATTTTTAATTCTTGAGAAATGGATTCTTCTTCTCAGTTCGCCTTCCTCTTCTTTCTCTTCTGGTCTCTCTGAGAAAATTTCTCTTTCCATCTTCGTCTCCCTTCCATTTCAATATGACCTCGTACCACCACCAACCCCCACCCCCTCTCCCC